TTCCCGCGCGCGCTCTCTCCCCGCAGGGGAGTTACCGAACTCCGCGCTGAGTGCCGAGCCAAGGCTTGGGGGATGCGAGAGCGCGCATCAGGCTGAACCAACTAAAACCGCATCGTTTACCATTCAAAGCGTTAGCAAAGGCAGACGTCCTTCCCTGTGATTGTCCAGAACAACATTGTTATCTGTTGGGGCTTGGGTTTGCAGGGTTAGCAGGAGCAAAACACACCGTCACTGTCTCCCTGTCTTCTCCCCACTTTCTGGTTTTGATTGTTTTTGTGATGTTTATTTAACAGTTTTGACTGTTTATTTAAATGGGGGGGGGGGGGGGGAATTGTTTCGGAGCGTGCTTGCTCCCTGCACACTTTTGAAGGCGATAAGTTCAGTGCATTTCATTTAAAAAGGGCAATTTCCTTGCCAGCGGAAGCCAAATGCTGTTGTCGTGGCGTCGGTGGTAACTTCTGGAGCCAATGAGTAAAGGGCCTTCCCCCAGGAACGGTCATGTTAAGAAAACATCACCGCGAAAATGATATCAACAGAGGAAAGAAAGGGAGTGTGTGTGGAGTAGGGGTGGGGGGGGAAATATACACTCCTTGAGAGTGAGGGGAGAACGATGGCCAGATGTGCGAAGTCAGCTCCACATGTGATGGGAACGAAATACGACTCCCATCCCCCCTCCCTCTCTCCCACACCCTCCGCTCCCCCTCCCCCTATAAGGATGGATTTCTGACCGCTAATTTAGACTCTAATAACGGACGAACGAAGCTTTCCCCTCATCAGAATACCGCCGTTCGCACAGGATGCCACCAACGACGAAATGGCTGTGTTTTGCCCAGGGGCGCGTTCAGTAACTTAATCATCCAATACCTTGATTGCAATCCCTCAAGCACTTATGTCAATAGAAAAGATTGGAAATATTTCTGGAAACTAACTTCACCTCCTTCCTCCCTCCCTCCCTCCCTCCCTCCCTCTCCTGTCCTGTCGCACTCTCTAAACATTGACAATCTAAGAAGAATTCCGCCAAAGTCAGAAACCAGATGAAAACGCTTCATTACAAGGGGTTTTTTTTTCTCTCGCTCTCTGTCTCTCCACAGACTACGTCTGAACTCAACCCCACTGTCTGCCTCATGTTCAATGGGGAATATTCTCATTGCCGGAGATTATTCACGTTCCTAAATCTGCATTTTCATGATATAAGGTGCAGAATTCTGGAGGGTTTTGAGACTTAAGTCTTCCAAACAGCCTACAGTGATATAACAGCAATCTTTGCTCTTGATGGGAGTGCTTTATCGTGTCTAAAACGATCTCAAAACTTCACAGAGTTCTCGGGAGAGGGTAGCGATGGCGTGTTTCACGCGGCAGCCTGAGCGCGCACAGCAACAGCCCACGAACAGCCACGAGGTGAATGATCGATTTGATCCGGGAGACTGTCGGACACCGGGAGAAACCCCATTCTCTTTTCGAACATTGTCGTGGGATCTTTAACGTCCAGCTGCACAGGCAGACGGGACCTCAGTTTAATGTCCATTATCAGGACAGCGACTCTGACAATGGAGTGTCAGCCCGGATTAGGATCCTGAGGTCCTGACAGATGATTCACGCGGTACTCTGTGAGGAATCGGCTGCCAGGTTTCGCCCACTAAGTACACAGTCACTCGACTTGACAGTGTAACCTGCGAAGCGCTGTGAGATGTCTCGAAGACGGGATGAGGCGCTGTGTCAAATGCAAAGATTATTATTATTATTATTATTATTATTATTGTTATTGTTATTGAGGCTTAAAGTGCAAACTTTGAAAATAAGCAAAACTCCAAGAAACGCCGCCAGAGCCCCACCCTGTGGTTGCACGGCACACGCACAGGGCATTTCTCCGGTAAAATATACAGCCACTTCGCTTTACAGTGTATCCCGTGAAGCGCTGCGAGACGTCTCGAAGACGCGATGAGGCGCTGTGTCAAACGCCTGGAGTCTTGTTATCTTAATGTGTACAAATTTTGTTCAAATTGTTCAGACCTCCCACAGCAAACAGCAGACACCAGTCACAGCCCATCTGAAGAATACCTGGTGGTAGCATTTAAGAACGTTTTTTGCTAAAAGGAAGGAATGGGGGGGGGGGGTGAGGGCTGTTCTGCTATTAATTGCAAGCCCTTTACGATCGACTCCAACAGGAGTTTAAATGTTGTGTCCCCCAGATATCTCTCATTCTCCCTCTAGTTATTCCATCTGGTCATTTCTTTGCTGACTTTGTTGAAATAAAGCTTGTGACACGTCTCATTACTCGCTGTCTATTCGCTTGCTGCTAAACAACCTTTTGATTGAGTGCGTTGCTTGATTTCATCTCCCCCCCCCCCCCCACCCCCTTCTGTCCATGTTCAGACAGAGGCAGAGTATAATTATTTATGGCTGCGCAAACCAGCAGAGCAGCAGTTGTCAGGATTGAAAGCTGCCCCATTAAGGGTGATTAAATGGGCGTAGAAGCCCATCAGGGTAATTGAAGTGACTACACGATGATGGAATTAGTGCCATCAAATCTTCCTGACGTGTTACTGCTCTGCTCTTTCCTACCTCGAACCCGCTGTTTTATTCTGTAAGGATTTCGAGGTAATGATGTATCTGTATTGGATTAAGTAAAAGTGTATTGTGTATCTGTAATAAACGGAGCAAAACTGTCCTTTGTGTCTCTCATCAGATGTTAACTAAACTACTGGGCATCTATAGTAGTTGTAACCAAACCGGACACGGGTATCTGGCTCAATGAAGCTGAAATGTTCTACGTGTTTGTTCCCTTTATTATAATAGACTAACAATTTTGATTAGGAATAAAATGGACCTTCTGATACCGAGCGAGTGAAATCTTCCCAATATCCCATTAATATTCTTGGCAAAACCGTAGAGGCTTTCTAGAGGAAGAAAGAGGTGTTGAGCCAGAACAGGAACATACATTTTATAGCCCCGTTCCCACTGGTTAGTTCTGGAGTAAATCCAGAATCTATTGTTGGGTCAATACCAGAGTAAATGTTGGGTGAATGCCAATCTGAAATCAATCTTGAAACCTCAGCTCTCTGCCACCAACGCAAACACAAACACACACAGAACTCTTCAGGACGTGCGGTCAGGAGAGTATGAAATGCTACCCAGCGGGGATCCAACTGCCCATTGTCCTTGGCTTAACTCTGGTGCTTCGGACATTTCCTCGTCCTGTAGTTCACGTCTTGCGTAACTGTAACCTCTCGCTGAAGCCTAGCGTTGTGAATGGAGCGTATCCAAGCAGTATCAACCGCAAGGATTATTATTATTATTATTAGAAACTCTGCTCTAAAATCATAGCGCAAGGTCACAGACCCAGTGAACTTTAGGCTTATTTTCACTGATCACGATTGAACTGAATATTGAACACATAATAATAATAATAATAATCCTTGCATTTGATATGGAGCCTTATCACATCGCTGAGACGTCGCAAAGCGCTTTGCAGCATATATTGCAAAGTGGAGTAATTTGTGTATTTTGCGGACAAGATATTTGAAAAAAAAATGATAAAAGTGTGGGTGGGGGAAGCCTCAATTCACATTGAGGGATTATATGAATAATCCCGGGATAGTATGTAATTTATCCCCCGTTAACAGCAGAAGTGTCTCCCTGCGCTTTTCAGGGAATTGTGGTAAAGTGTAGTGACTGTGTGGTGGTTCTGCTCTGTGCCGTGTGGGGAGCACTGATGTACTGTACCATCACACGGCCTCGGGAGAGTGAGTGTAACTACGGCCAAATTGCATTGGGCAGCGGAGTGGGTGTGGGAGCGATTCGGTGGTCATCGAGCGCCACCTCGTGGCGGCGTAGGAACACAGCAACACGCAGGACTCTGTGAAGGTCATTTGTGGTTCCCAATGCTCTCGAGGACCAGAAGATTGGACCAGAAGATTGGAGAAGATTGCAAACTGTGCTGTCCTGCTCTCACGCTGCAGGAGGAGGTGATGCCAATACGCACCTCAGTCACAGTGCCAGAATTCTGTTCGCCGATCACACTCGAGCTGTGTGCCGGGCCTCACCGAAAGCCCCCGCTCGCAGTTCTTCTGGTCGCTTTTGACAGGCCCTCGAGGCAGTGCAGAGCAACGAGGATGATTCCCCCAATGCTGGAGCCATTAGCTGTGAGTAACAATTAGATAAGTTAAGGCTCTTCGTGAAAGGTGACACTTTTTACAGGGAGCGTAAACTTTTTCAACGGGACTGCAAACGTAAACCCCAGGATCAATACTTTAGGAATGCACCAATCCTTGCATTTTTGATACAGCGCTTTTCACGTCGGGAGGACGTCCCAAAGCGCTTCACAGAACACACTGTAAAGTGAATTGACTGTATATATTTGTGGGCGAACGCGGCAGCCAATTGCGCACAGCAATGTCCCACAAACAGTCATAGATTGAAAATGACCAATTTATTATTGTTTTTGGTTTTGGAGGGATTATTATTAGGCTCTGTGTGGAGTAAGGAAACTTGCCCGAGGTTTCGCCCTCTGCCTGGAATTGAACTCAGGTCTCTCACTTGCAAAGCGAGTGCTCTAACCACTGAGCTACAGGACTCCAAGATAGTAGAACCAGAGGACCTTGGCTCAGAGTTGCAAAGGACAGTTTTACTTTACCCAGTGGGTAACTGACGACTGCAACAGGTGGCCAGGACGTTGTGTTGAGGTCAGGAGACTGGACTGATTTCAAAACAGCTTTGATGCAGTGATGGGAACATGTTAAAGGAGTAATCTGGAAGGATTAAGATCGAATGAGCCATCAGGGCCTTCTTCATTCGAGCCAAACTTTTCATGAATGTCCTGAACTGGGATGAATGATTAAGGTCATAGAAACAGGAGTAGGCCATTCAGCCCCTCGAGCCTGTTCCGCCAGAACAGGGCTAATTATGGACTCGAAAGTTCCGTGTTGGAGATTAAGGCCACAAAGCCTTCTCCGCCTTTCAGAATCTCCGAGTCCTGATGGAATATTAAGATTTTTACACCATTTTGAACAAAAAAATGGGTTTATTATCCATATTTACACAGCATCACAAAACACCGCTGAATGCTTATTGCTGAGATTAGTCCGTTAAGCTCTGTGCACATTGCACAGACTCGTTACACTGGGGTGCCCTCTGCACGTCGCTTCAAGTCGAGGTTTTTAAAGTAGTCCTTTGGGAAATGACGATTCCTTTGCAGATCAATCATGGGCTCCTCTCCTGTGTCTCCGCCTTCTTTCTGCCTCTGGGCAAAGATCATGGCACGAAGCAGAGGTGGGTACGGGACGTAGCGCACGCTTGTCTCGGGAACGGGCGTGAAGCGCTTAAATTCTTCCTCTTCGTGCTTTGGTATCAGGCGCCAATCATGGTACATCACTCTTTCGATTTCCCTCACCTTTTCTTCGGTCACTCCTAAACGGGGAGACGAGCAGGAAAGAACAAACGGTCTGAATCCACCCAGTAATCCAGCCCTGCACTGATCTTTCACAGCCGTCGGCCGTTTGTGGGAGCAATGGCCGCCTTATTTACCTTCAATAAATACTCCCTGAAGGCCGTTTGGCACACAAAATAGACACTCCACTTTACAATATATTCTGTGAAGCGCTTTGAGGCGTGTCAATAATGTGATGAGGCGCTGTATCAAATGCAGGGTTTATTATGAGGATTATCATTATATTATTGGTGGTAGTTAGCTGTACAAATCAAAAATAAATCACAATACAATCCTTGCAAATGACACAGCTTCTCAACACGTCGTCTCAAACCACAGGATGTACCGCAAGGCACTGGCGGGCCTGTGTAGACTATACACACCTTAAGTAGGGCTCAAGCCCACAAACATCTGACTCCGAGGCAAAAGTGTCACTAACCGGACCAGTTAGACACACGATCATTAAAACGGTATAAAATTTACGTCCTTTTCTTTGAACAAAGTCAATGTTTGAAATGCTGTCACTGTCCAGCGCCTCGGGACGTCCTCCCAACGCGAGAGGCGCTAAACAAATGTAACCTTGTTGTTGTTGTTTGGAAGCAGGGCAACCAGAATGACTTTTTTTTTTACTGAGTTATTATTGCTGCGTTAAACCGCCATTAGAAACTGGACACAAAACACTTTCTGAAACATCCACAAAAGGTAACGTTCAAAATATACCTTTGAATGTCAACACCCCCCAAGCTCTTCCGTGGTCCAGTTCCTGCGGGTAACACGAACAGCTTCATTATCACTACACACCAGAACAAACTTTAACCCCTTACTGGGGGGGGGTATACATGTGAGGGGGGGTATATAGGGCGGTGTATATGGGGTATATATATGTGGATGGGTATATATGGGGGTGCATGTGGGGTATATATATATATGTGTGGGTATACATGTATATATGGTGGGTATATATATGTGGGTGGTTATATGGTATATATATATAGGAGGGGGTGGGTGGGGGGTATATAGCGGGTGGGGGGTGCATATAGGGGTGTATATAGGGAGTGGGGGGTGTATATAGGGAGTGGGGGGGTGTATATGGGGGTGTATGGGGGGGGTGTATATGGGGGGATGTGTGTATATGGGGGGGGGTGTATATGGGGAGGTGTATATGTGGGGTGTATATGGGGGGGTGTATATGGGGGGTGTATATGGGGGTGTATATGGGGGTGTATATGGGGTGTGTGTGTATATGGGGGGTGTATATGGGGGTGTATATGGGGGTGTGTGTATATGGGGGTGTATGGGGGGGGTGTATATGAGGGGTGTGTGTGTATATGGGGGGTGTGTGTGTATGTGTGTGTATGGGGGGTGTGTGTGTATATGGGTGTGTGTGTGTGTATGGGGGGTGTGTGTATATGGGTGTGTGTGTGTGTGTGTATATGGGGGTGTGTGTGTAGGTGGTGTATATGGGGGTGTGTGTGTATAGGTGGTGTATGGGGGTGTGTGTGTGTGTGGGTGTGTGTGTGTGTATAGGTGGTGTATGGGGGGGTGTGTGTATGGGGGTGTGTGTATATGGGGGTGTGTATGGGGTGTGTGTGTGTGTATGGGGGTGTGTGTATATGGGGGGGTGTGTATAGGGGTGTGTGTGTATAGGTGGTGTATGGGGTGTGTGTGTGTATGGGGGTGTGTGAGTGTATATGGGGGTGTGTGTATGGGGGTGTGTGAGTGTATATGGGGGTGTGTGTATGGGGGGGTGTGAGTGTATATGGGGGTGTGTGTATAGGTGGTGTATGGGGGTGTGGTGTATATGGGGTGTGTATAGGTGGTGTGTGTGTATGGGGTGTGTGTGTGTGTGGGTGTGTGTGTGTGTGTATAGGTGGTGTATGGGGGTGTGTGTGTGTATGGGTGTGTGTGTGTGTAGGGTGTATGGGGGTGTGTGTGGGTGTGTGTGTGTGTGTGTATAGGTGGTGTATGGGGGTGTGTGTGGGTGTGTATAGGTGGTGTATGGGGGTGTGTATAGGTGGTGTGTGTGTGTGTATGGGGTGTGTGTGTGTGTGTGTGTATAGGTGGTGAATGGGTGTGTGTGTGTGTGTATGGGTGGTGTATGGGGGTGTGTATAGGTGGTGTATGGGGTGTGTGTGTGTATAGGTGGTGTATGGGGGTGTGTATAGGTGGTGTGTGTGTGGGTGTATGTGTGTGTGTATAGGTGGTGTGTGTGTGTGTATGGGGTGTGTGTGTGTGTGTGTATAGGTGGTGTATGGGGTGTATGTGTGTGTGTATAGGTGGTGTATGGGGGTGTGTGTGTGGGTGTGTGTGTGTAGGTGGTGTATGGGGGTGTGTATAGGTGGTGTATGGGTGTGTGTGTGTATATGGGTGTGTGTGTGTGTGTGTGTGTATAGGTGGTGTATGGGGGTGTGTGTGGGTGTGTATAGGTGGTGTATGGGGGGGGTGTGTGTGTGGGTGTGTGTGTGTGTATGGGTGGTGTATGGGGGGTGTGTGTGTGTGGGTGTGTGTGTGTGTATGGGGTGTGTGTGTATATGGGTGTATGGGGGTGTATGTGTGTATATGGGTGTGTGTGTGTGTGTGTGTATAGGTGGTGTATGGGGTGTGTGTGTATAGGTGTGTGTGTATGGGTGTGTGTGTGTGTGTATGGGGTGTGTGTGGGTGTGTGTGTATAGGTGGTGTATGGGGTGTGTGTGTGTGTGGGTGTGTGTGTGTGTAGGTGGTGTATGGGGGTGTGTGTGTGTGTGTGTATAGGTGGTGTGTGTGTGTGTGTATGGGGTGTGTGTGTGTGTGTGTGTGTATGGGGTGTGTGTGTGTGTGTGTGTGTGTATGGGGTGTGTGTGTGTGTGTGTGTACAGGTGGTGTATGTGTGGGTGTGTGTGTGTGTGTGTGTATAGGTGGTGTATGGGGGGTGTGTGTGTGTGTGTATAGGTGGTGTGTGTGTGTGTGTATGGGGTGTGTGTGTGTGTGTGTGTACAGGTGGTGTGTGTGTATGGGGTGTGTGTGTGTGTGTATAGGTGGTGTATGGGGGTGTGTGTGTGTGTGTATATGGGTGTGTGTGTGGGTGTGTGTAGGTGGTGTATAGGTGGTGTATGGGGTGTGTGTGTGTGTGTGTAGGTGGTGTATAGGTGGTGTATGGGTGTGTGTGTGGGTGTGTGTGTGTACAGGTGGTGTATGGGGGGAGTCTGACCTCGGCCGTGTAGTCGGGTCGGGCTGTGCTGATGCTCCAGTAGCAGGGCAGGGGGTGGTGGGCCCAGACCCAGGACTTGCGGGTGAAGAGGCGGCCGAGGCCGAAGTGCTTGAGGCGGTTGAGGGTCTGGAAGAGCCGCGCCTCGGTGCGGATGTCGGAGTGGGCGCGGACCGGCAGCTTCCTGCCGGAGTGAGGCCGGGTCATGGTGAGCGGGTCCAGGCCCAGGCGCTCGCTGTCCCGGGGCCGCTGCTTCAGGGCCCAGTAGTCGCGGACCTTCTTGGCCATCGCGGCGATGGCGCGGACCCGCTTCTTGCCGGGCATCGCGGAGAGGGGGAGAGAGGGAGAGGGGGAGAGGGGGGAGTGTGTGTGAGAGAGAGAGGGGAGAGAGGGGGGGAGTGTGTGAGAGGGGGAGAGAGAGAAATGGCGGAGAGGACACACACACAGAGAGTGAGAGAGAAAGAGCGGCTCCGCCGGAAATCGCAGCCTCCGGACCCTTTACCCTGTGACACCCTCCGCTGCTGAGCGGCGTCACACTCCCACCGCTCCCCCACACCACCACCACCACCGCAACACACTCCTGGTCCGAAAGGTTCAGGGAGGGCTGGTGTCTGTGTGGGGGGGGGTGTGGGGGGGGTGGGGGTGTAGGGGGGTGTGGGGGGGGGTGTGTGGGGGTGTGTGTGTGGGGGGGGTGGGGGGTGTGTGTGGGTGGGGGTGTGTGGAGGTGCGTGTGTGGGGGGGGTGTGGGTGTGTGTGTGTGGGGGGGTGTGGGTGTGTGTGTGTGGGGGGGTGTGGGTGTGTGTGTGTGTGTGTGGGTGTGTGTGTGGGGGGGGGTGGGGTGTGGGTGTTGTGGTGTGTGTGGGGGGGTGTGTGTGTGGGGGGGTGGTGTGTGTGTGGGGGGGTGTGTGGGGGGGTGTGTGGTGTGTGTGTGTGTGGGGGGTGTGTGTGTGGGGGGGGGGTGTGTGGGGGTGGGGGTGTGTGTGGGGGGGTGTTGGGGGGAAGGGTTGGGGGGTTGACATTCGAGCTACAAAGCTGTTATATTATCTCTCCTCCTGTGTTTACATCTAAAGGTGTTAATGCTGTGTATTTATTTGGCCGCGCGCCGATCATCTCCAATAAAACCCCTTTCCAACCCCAACCGCCCCCCCATACACACACAGTCACTACACTTCACGGCATGTTCCCGCGAAGCGCCTTGAGGCGTCTCGACGACGCGATCGAACGCCGGGGCTGTCGTCGTCGTTATTATAATGGATTGTATAGTGACGCTATAATTATTATAATGCTATAATAATAATAGTAGTAATTTGGTCACTCAATCGAAGCACAATATCAAATGCAAAGATTATTATTATTATTATTTACACTTGTCTTCTTGAAAACCAAACCCGTACAGAGCTGTGAGGAGCATCAGTAGTTGAACGGTGGGGGGGGGGGCGAAGCTCAGCTGCCTACCGCCACCCACCGCCTGTCAATAAGCACAGATCAGATCAACCAGAGTCATCTGAAATTAAAATACGTTTGTAGCCCCAAAGTGATAACAACATTAATCATTTTTGCACTTGATATAACGCCTTATCACGTCGTCGAGACGTCTCAAATCGCTTCGCGGGCCATACTGACGAGTCTCCAATTCCTCCTCCTGGAAATTTAATCCCATTCCCCCGGAGGTCCCCCACCATTTTAATATTAATTTCCTCAAATGTGAATCCAGTACCTTTTAACACGTCGTTACCGACTTTGCTTCATCAGCCCAAATCGTAAAGTAATCAGCACATCAAGTTCCGACTCCCTCTTTCTCTTTGACACCTCTTTGATCTTGAACAACAAACAAAAGGACTTGAGTGATGGGTCACAAGGTCTTTCAATCATCAGAACTCCTTATTGCACTCTGTGGCCAATTCAATGCTCACTGAAGCCTCATTGCCCAATCACTCCTTAGGTTGACAACTTTGTCATGGAGGGTACATTATCAACTCAGCGCTGGTAGCTGTGCGCACGTTGAACGTGTGCCGTTGCAGCAAATGCAAATAAATTGTCAAAATCATATGCAGAAGGATGTGACATTGTGTTGCGGACACTTATTAAAGAAAAAGCGAAACTGTGTGCAGGGTGTTTGTCCATAGGATCCTCTCCTTGCTGCCGTAGGTAATAATAATCATAATAATAGGTAGCCAAAAAAATTAACACAATACTCTCAGATGTAGCCTAATCAATGCAACGGAGACATGGGATATTCTTGGTTAGTGACTCTAGTCTTAGTTATAGAAATTCTACTGCGACGGACCTTGAAGAAATAATCTGTTATTGGTTACCTACACAAGTAACAGTCAGTGTAGGTCACTCTGTCCTAAACCGAATGTGTTGTTCCTTCGATGACAATTCCCCACTGATGAACTGTATAAGAAACACATTCAGTTCCTGGCCTGAATTACCTGGTACATCCTGGACTCAAAAACTTGATATTTGTCTTAAGTTTTTAATTGCCATGACTGCAGTAGCTGAATCTGTGTAATGGGTGGGAAGTGGCTCCGTCGCGTTAGCCCATATCTACAGGGTATGAATGCATAAACTGATCGAGCAAAGAGATTTTTGAGTGTGAAAATATTCTGCTCCAAAGAATGAGGTCTGAATTTTGACAATGCTTAATGAGGACATCACTCGCTCTCGATCGAAAATGACATGCGGAAAAGTTCTTAATCCGTCGGGAATGTTAACTCATGGCCTCAAAAAAATTAAATAAACCCAGTGAAGAATGAACCAGTGGATCTCGTGTGCAATTTACACCTTAGCGGACATTTCAGAATCTACCGGGTTTTCGAGGAGATCTGTTGCGAATTGTACCGGGAACAGAGAGCCGACTGCAACTAAAGCGATACGATGGCTGCTGAAATTTTGGAATAAAAAAAATAATAATCCTTGCATTTGATGCATAGCACCTTTCATATGGGGAGGACCTCGCTAAGCTCTTCACAGGATTTTTAACTGTAAAGTGTAGTGTGTAAAGGGAGCTCTGTCTTTTTGGAGTCAAACAGTGAATGATGATAATGATAATATTCCTTGCATCTGATATATCGTTGTCTTCGAGACGTCTCAAAGCGCTTCACAGGAGTCACCGTAACGATTTGCTGACGGTGGCCAGTGTTCTTTGTGAGTCTCAATGCAGACGGAGAGTGGGGGTTTGTCGGGCCTGTGGGGGGGGGGGGGGTGGGGTGCGTGGAGAGAAGAGGAAGTAAGAAGAGCCATAAAATACAAAGAACATCAAGAGATGAGACACAGAGGAGTCATTTGAGACGGGACATTCAATTCACCACATCACCATTTCACTCGCAATGTACGGAGATTTATTTTTGGTGTGCTATTCCGTGCTAATTCTGTGCTACTTGGAAGATATTAAAGGAGTGAGTCATCTCTGTCCAAATGTTAGGCATATTTTCCTCTGTGTTTAGAAGCATCAGTTGAGTCGCCGGAACATTGTGACACCCACGATAAAAGATCATGTTCAGTTTCTCCCCAATCATTACAGTTTCTTCCTAAAATATTGAAAATATCTTCTGTTGTTACTAAAGTCAGAGCGACTTGGTCGCAGGTGCAAAAACTGCCTTTCTTTTTCTCAACGTGAGGATTAAAAGAGAGCAAGGAAAAGGCAGGGGACAGAGAGAGATACTTGGAAAACAAGGGAATTAAGGGGTATACAGGAAAGGTGGAAATGGAATTAAAGGAGGGAGCGGACCAGAAGCATATCCCCCCCAACTCCCCCCACCCCACCTCTCATTACCCCCATTTTGTGTTGTGCTCAGTGCCACAGGAAGGGTGGGGGGTTAATACAAGAGGTAATGTCAGTTAGGAAAAGGATTAGTTTAGATCTCAGTGATGGGCTTTCTCTCCGCAGGAAACTAGAGCAAGAATTAGTAAATTAACTCCACGTAAAAACAGAAGTCAGTCGCTGGGAACTCTCTCTTCAGATTTCCGGCGTCCGCAGTATTTTTCCTCCAGTAAGTTAACCGACTCGGGAAGTTGCCAGAACATAGCGATCCGTCGCGAAGGAGAGGTTAATCAATCAGACATCACAGGACAATAATTAGGCATAACAATACAAGGAATAGAACAAGGATATGGTGAGAGGGATCAAAGGTCACAGCCACTGCTATAAAATAGCTTACGCCGGCCACTTTGGTCTTAAAGGTGCTGAGCGATTTGCGAGCATCATCTCGTTATCCGTCCCTGATCCCGGCTGAAGTGCGAACCTGCTCTTGAAGGCTCTGCGCCCTCGGTTTCCGAGACTGAAGCAAAGACGCTGGGCAGGTAAGAAGCCCCCCAGTGCCCCCCCAACCTCCCCATAGCCCCCACCTCAGGCTTTCAGTCACCAGAAGGTGACCATCCAAACACTAAAGCAACATTTTCTAACCAACTCCCCCCCCCCCCCCACCTTTGGCTCGGCAAACGTTAGCTTCCAGTTGGCGCGCCGATCTACTTAGAGCTTAAACTCTATTTTAATCCAACGATTGTGGAGCAGGGAAAAGATCCCAAATCCTCTCACTGATGCCTGTTGTGTTTGTTCTGTGCTGGGAGTCAAACTACACCACGCAATCAATAGACAACTTTGGGAGTACAACGGCACTGTGAAATCATTTACTGGGGTCTTTGCTTCGCTTTTCAGTTGAATGGTAAGAAACACAGCAACTCCTCTCCAGGTGTAAATTGCCACTTGTAGTGTGTTGGAAAAAAAAGTGAACAATTAATCCGTTAGTTATTGACTGGTACATGGGTGTGCTGGAGGTACACGCACACACACACGCATACACGTACGCGCGCACACACACGCACACTCACACACACCACACACACACAAACATCCCGAAGCATAACACAGGATTTTACGGTGAATCAATGACTGTGTATTTTGTAGGCAAATATGACAACCAATTGGTACCCAAACATGTCCCACAAACAGCCACAAAGAGAATGACTGATCTTCCCTGGGGGATTGGGATTATTGGCCAGGACATCTTTTTGTACAGAACCATGGGATCTTTAAGGTATCAGTAACATTGAGCAGTGGGTGGGAGGGAGGATTCCATGAAGAAGCCATTCACTCCGCCCACAAACACTCCACCCCCACCCACTAACCCCCCCAATCCCCTAACCCCTCCATTTGGCACAAACATTGCAATTTCCAAGAAATGCTCTAACATCAGTTGGTTTTACAGCTTCAGAATTTGTGTGTGTGTGGGGTGGGGGGGCGGGGGGGGTCACAAAAAAAGAATTTTGCTATCCAACTTAACCGAGCAACGAGCCATCAATGGAAACTCATCAACACAACTCCCAGAAGTTATTCTAACAATCCTTGAACTGTTAGTATCAGTGCTAACCTCCTCGCTGGTTGACAGTACATGTGCCAAGCAGCTTTTCTCGGGGGTTTACACTTGCCTGCGATTGGGTATCGCAGCCTCCGACAAGGTCACACCTGCTCGTAAAAAATGCGAGTATCAATCTTCCATCCTTCCTCCAACTCACTCCGTTGCTTTGATCTGGCGGCCAGCAGTTGCAGATAAAACATAATAGTAAACTGGAAACAAGTAGAATTGATGTGGATCTGTGTGTGGATTTGATATTTTACCCGGCGCATTGCCTGTAACTCGCTGTTGAACGCAAGCTATACGTTTGAGTTAAACCCAATTTTCACTACAGTGTTGCGTCGATTGTTCCTTTTAAAAACACAAAGGGTCTTGAAATATTGACATCAATACTGTGTGTGTGTGTGTGTGTGTGTGTGTTTACCAGGATTTTTATCGAGACAGGAAAGTAGGTTTGCAAGATGATAACAATGATAATAATAATTCTTATATTTGATACAGTGTCTTTCAAGTCAGGAGGATGCCTTTGTGGGCGAAACGCGGCAGCCATTTGTGCACCGCAGTGTCCCACAAACAGTCGTGGATTGAGTGACCAAATTATTATTTGTTTTATTTATTTATGTATTTATTTTTATTTAATTGAATTGCAATAACCTGGCCTTAAGCACTCCTTAACAAGCAACAAGCCAACCATTCCAGCAGTGACCCACCCTGTCCTTGGCACACAAGGTGAGGCTTAAAATATACTGTAAGAGATTTCACAGAAACGCTGACAAAATTAAACAGAGATAAAATAAACCATTTCCTGATGGTTTCAACTGGCTCTGATCCTAAACATAAGGCTGCACAGTATTAGTCCTCAGGAGAGGGGCTCTTTGGAGCTTAATGTATCTCAGATGTTGGCACAGTTACACCAATGCTCATGGTGATGGTGTGGAAGAAGTTGTTATAAATCATGTGGAAAACAGTGAAGATGCTGATCTTCTTCAGGGAACAGGTGTTCACTGACCTCCCTGTCGCTCTGGCTCAACATCAGACTCCGGCGCTATCAAGTGAAGGGCGCTGTGTAAATGCAAATTGTTGTTCATGCTATGGCTCACTGCTACGCTGACTATAGAGGTCTCCACGTGGCTCTGTGGTTAGATGCATTGCCTCCTAATAGTCCTTGGAAGGCTGGCTGAGTCTCAATCCCAGTCCCTGCTGAGCTCACTGATCTCAGTCGGAGAAGCCATTGAAGCCTTGCAGTTCCTGAGCCAGGAAGAGAGATCATTCCTGGTTCATGTTGGTTAACAAGTGCCTAAGTATATGAGCGAGTGTAAGGAATGGATGTCACGCCACGACAAGAATAGTCCACAGTGTAAACCTCTGCCAACACAACAGCCGAGGAATCATGACACGAAGAACGTTCATTAGAGCCAGAGTTGCCAGAGTCAGAAACACACGTTGGCACTGTGTCACAGCACTTCCGGGGAGGAGGGAGGAGGGAAGGGAAGAGTTTGGTTGGTGGAGAAAGAGAAAGAAACGGAACAAGGAGACCCAGAAAAGAATTTGATTTTTTTGGGTTCCAAAGGTCGTTCATAATATCAAGTTTCCCCTCCACCAAAAGGCTTAATCGATGAGATAATCTTTTTATATCAAAAAAAATCTGTAATAGTGAGCGATCGATCAAAATATCCCTCATAAAATGATCTGAAAAACAGATGGGTGCGTGTTTTTTTAAAAGAAGAACTGCTGCATTTTCTTTGACGTTCATTTCGTCACTGTGGGTACTGAACCCTCCCTGCCTTTTGGTGAATTTCTCCTTTCCTTGGATGGGATATTTGCCCCGATAATGGACACCGAGATGGTTCCTTTTCTTTATCGCCTCCGCGGGCTGTGTGAACTGGCACTGCTTGACGAAGGAATGCAACCCCTCCCTTCCCAAAACATGTGTGGGTTCTTGGATAAGTGGTGACGTGAACTGCAACTCTCTCTCCCCCTCTCTCTCTCTCGGCTGTTATTTTGGCTTTTCGCTGTCATCTTTGTGGTTTGATATTATAGTTCACAGGCAGTATATCTGGAGATGGCAGCATTGTTGACTGCAATAAAGCAGTTCTATGCTTGAATCAACCTGCTTTTCTGGCCATTTCATCGGGCTGGACCCTATCGTGTTTGCAAGTAGCCTTCAGCTAAGGCTAAGGCAAATTTGGACCTTCTGGTGAGGCAACCGCGGAAGAGATGAAGCTCCTGCTCATGAGGTTTGTGTGCGGAAGTTTCCAGCACTCGTCCGATAGCGTTGCATTATTCTAGTGTGTGGCAGGTTTGCCTTTATGTCGTCACATTCTGCAGGATTTATTTTGAGATTTTAAGGCACCCTTTTACTGTATATGGACAAATGATACAGTCAATTCACTTAACAGTACATTCTGTGAAGCGCTTTGAGATGTCTAGAAGACATGATAAAACGCTGTATCGAATGCAGGAATTATTATTATTATTATTCACTTGGAAGCTGGTTGTTAATTGTGTATTAAACACCTGGGTGATTGAAACGTGTGTGTACAAGCTGTATGTCTCCTTCTACCTGCAATGAACGTTTACCTTTAACTCTGCCTGAAAAGGCGGTAGGGGACTGAATTATTGGGTCTTATAATAATAATAATAATCCTTACACTTGATATAGTGCTTTCACATCTCAATCAGCTTCACAGGGTAAACTGTACAGCGTAGCGATTATGTGGTGGGCAAATGCGGCAGCCAATATGTGCACAGCAGCGTCCCATAACCAGCCACGAAGCGAATGAGTGATTTTTTCTCTCTTCCTCTGCCTCCTGTTTGATACGTTTCTTCACTTATTTCATTCTTTTCCCTCATGTTTTCTCCTGTAATTCCTGGACATAAAGCTGCATTCCTAGACATAAAGCGTGCCATTTCTCTCTGTCTAGAAAGGCAATCAATGTCCCTATTGTCAACTGTCTGGCTCCAGCCTAGCCTGGAGCAGAGCGTTACATAAGCACTTAAGGCTTTGACGTGCAATTGTTTGGAACTCGTTGATCGCTAACTTTTGACTCTCCTGCCACATGGGATTGTCTGTCCCAGGACAATGTCCTAGAAACCGAATTGCAGCCAGTAAATGGGGTGCTTTAATGTAAAGGGCTTTAATGTCTCTTCCTAACGTCGATGCGATCGATACACTTGCCCTGGAAAAGCTTGACAATAGCTGAGCACCTGAGTTGCAAGCACTTAATAATCCCTCCAAAAAAAACACAGTAATAAATTGGTCATTTTCAATCCACGACTGTTTGTGTGACGCTGCTGTGTGCAATTGGCTGCCGCGGTCGCCCACAAATATACAGTCAATTCACTTTACAGTATATTCTGTGAAGCGCTTTGGGACGTCCTCCCGACGTGAAGAGCGCTATATCAAATGCAAGGATTATTATTATTATTATTATAAGGGCGCTATATAAACACAAGTGGTTGCTGATGTAACGTATCTCGCTTTGGAAGAACGCAACAGTTGACCCCCAAAACACAGTCCGCGGTCACTTCTTGAGATTCCAGCGCACGAAAGCGGAATTGAAGGGATTTAGAACAGAAAGAACAGAGCCAGCGATTTGGATCCTAATCTTCTTATCTTCAATTTTAATGAAGTAATATCAAATAAAAGTCGCATTCAAATCAAATGCCAGCTTAGTCACATTTCCTTTGCAGCGATGGAAAAATTTCCCTTACATTCCCCACATTAATGATTAATATTAATAATCCTCGCATTTGATACAGCGCCTTATCACGTCTTCGAGACGTCTCAGAGCGCTTCACAGACTATACTGTACAGTGGAATGACTGTCTATTTTGTGGGAGAAATGCTACATTTCATCGCTATAAAAGGGTCAGAGCGTGGAGCGGGGAATGTAAGGGGAGTCATGAGATTTGCCTGACGCTGCACTGAACTGGAATCTTTCCTCTGCTGTTTGAACGAGAGCCAGACACCTTCGTGCCTTCAGCATTAATTCTTACTGCATGAATGGGAGTAATTCTGCCGCGGATTTTACTGGGACAGTATGGCAACTGTCAGTATTTCCTCCCAAACACACCTTGTAGCCAATGAGTGAGTGAGTGAGTGAGTGAGCGGGGGACTGAGTGAGTGAGCGGCGGAGTGAGTGAGTGAGTGCGTGAGTGGGGGAGTGAGTGAGTGAGTGAGTGAGTGAGTGAGTGAGTGAGTGAGTGAGTGAGTGAGTGAGTGGGGGGGGTGGGTGGGTGGGTGGGTGGGTGGGTGGGTGAGTGAGTGAGTGAGCGGGGGAGTGAGTGAGTGAGTGAGTGAGTGAGTGAGCGGGGGACTGAGTGAGTGAGCGGCGGAGTGAGTGAGTGAGTGAGTGGGGGAGTGAGTGAGTGAGTGAGTGAGTGGGTGGGTGGGTGGGTGGGTGAGTGAGTGAGTGAGTGAGCGGGGGAGTGAGTGAGTGAGTGAGTGAGCGGTGGACTGAGTGAGTGAGCGGCGGAGTGAGTGAGTGAGTGGGGGAGTGAGTGAGTGAGTGAGTGAGTGAGTGAGTGAGTGGGTGGGTGGGTGGGTGGGTGAGCGAGTGAGTGAGTGAGCGAGCGGGGGGGGGGAGTGAGTGAATGAGTGGGTGAGTGAGTGGGGGAGTGAGCAAGCGGGGGGGGGGAGTGAGTGAGTGAGTGGGTGAGTGGGTGGGGGAGTGAGTGAGTGAGTGAGTGAGTGGGTGAGTGGGTGGGGGAGTGAGTGAGCGAGTGAGTGGGTGGAGGGCAGGCAGGCAGTCTGGTAAGCACATCTGTAACACAGAGCTGTTCCTGTGCTTATTTTCAGGAAGTGTTGGTATCGGAGGGTTTGAGGCATTGGACTGTAAACCCAGTGCCCTGGATTGAGACTGAAGCAGCGTGTGCCTTCATCAATGGGATCCCTCCTCTTCGGTCTCATTTCACTGCTAACAGGTAAACAGTCTTAAAGTGACCATTTATTCGACCAAGGAGTCACTGATTTTTTTTTAAAAAGACCTGAATGCGTGTATTTTATTTTAGTTTAGCTTTCGCTTCTCCCTCCTCCCCCTCACATTACTCCCTCCCTTAACATTAATATTTATCTAAGTAACCTGAAGCCATTTGCTGGCTTGGAGCAGAGGGAATTTCCATCAGATGCTAAATTTCATTGGCATTGCTGTCTTTTGAGGTTTACAGCTCATAGTACGAGACCTGGTATTTGACTCAGCACCTATAATGTGGAAAGATTTCAGGGAATTGCCTCAAAGCGTGTTTGCAGGCAAATGCGGCAGCCAATTTGGTCACAACAACTTTTCACCAACAGCTGTGAAAAGCATCAATATATATCAGAGAAAACTTAATGTATACTTGATGAGAGATAAAGGACTAGAGGTGTGTGGGGTAGGTGGGGGGGTGGGGATTAAGAAGGCGTCGAAGCTCTTGCAAAGTGCAGTATAGCCCATTTTCGTGCTGTAACAGTCTATGTAATTCTATGTAATTAAGTGAATGGCAATTTGATCAGGAGGATTGTTGGCGAGGACACGGGGAGAAACACCCTTCACTTCCCCGTGTCAGTGTCATCTTTAATGTCCAGCTGTACAGCCAGGCAGGATCTAGGTTGAACGCATCACCCGAAGCACGGCACCCATGACGGCAGCTCTCCCCAGCCAACCTAGACAGTGAGCAGAACAAAACTCGATGCGCCGATCATCCACTGCGATCAACTGAGCCAGGCTGCCAGACCCAAGAGTTGTAAGACAGCTTAGGATGAAGGAGGCTCCCTTGATTTCATCTTTCGCCCACGAAACATACAGTCAATTCACGTTACAGTATATTCATGTCTCAAGGATGTAGAGGTCCCGCCCGAGAAAGGGTTAACAAGTTACTGATCCTTTGTTCTGTGTCGCAGCTCCGCAAAGGGTTTATTATATATAATTTGGCCCTCTTCATTCTGGGTTTGCTCAACTTCCTCGCCCCCTGTTTTTCCCTGTGATTTGGAAACAGCCTAAAGCTGCCATTATCCTCTCGTTTGCGAGGCGAGCGGTTAGAAACGTTAGGCGAGTTTCCTTACCCCACACGCCTCTGTTTACCTCGCAGTAAGTAGGAACCCGGTTGTTAGTCGATTGGCTGATCACTTTTCTGGGGCATAATAAACCCTCCTAAAAAAAAAGTAAATAAATAAATAATCATTTTGCCACTCAATCCACGACTGGATTGTGGGACGCTGTTGGGTGCAATTGGGTGCTGTGTTTTGCTCACAGGATACACAGTCAATTCACTTTAACCCAGCAGTTAAGTTGCGCACAGTAAACAAAGACCCACAAACAGCCATAAACGTTTGGCATCCTCTGTGAGCTCCAGTCTCGGCACGGGGCTTGGACGCACGACTTTCTGACTTACAATAATAATGACAATAATAATAATAATGTCTTATCGTGGCTCCGAGGCGTCTCGAAGACCTGGGAGGCAAGAGCGCTGTTTGCAAGAGGCACTTAGGCTCTGGCGTTGAATGGTTTTGTAAAAGTAGATTGTGCTTTGGATCCAGTGCAGCTCACAGTCACCGAGGGACATGTGGTGCGGACAAGAAGCGTCATCGAGCTGGTCGGGATGCTGCGCTGCAGCACAGGACGATCCATTTCGTATCTAACGTACGGTTGTTACTGTGGGATTGGAGGAAGAGGCTGGCCCCGAGACAAGACCGACTGGTAAGACAGACAAGCACCCGGACATTTGGTAAAACTGCAGAAGCAAACCTAATTCCATTGGGTTGTCAATGCACCTCAAAGGCATGTTACCCAAACCACCGCCGCTACACTGGATCACAAGACATTAAGTTGCACATCTGCCAAGCACTGATGCCTTGCGCGCTGGCTCCTAAACACCCACAATCACGTTATAAAGGGGGTAATTGTGACGTGTGACACTTGTTAATTAGGAGCTACCCATGCAGAGAGTTGGCTAGCCGGGCTGAGGACACGCACACATCTGCAAGTCTGCCTTAGAAACACAGAAACATAGAAACAGGAGTTGATCATTCAGACCCTCGAGCCTGTTCTGCCATTCTATAAGATCATGGCTGATCTGTTCCTCAACTTCAATTACCCCGCCCTTGCCCCATTTCCCTTAGATTGGTTCAGATCCACCTGGTTTTGCGGAGATGTCTCCTCCGTGCCAATTCAGCCTGTGTGACAGACAGTCAAAGGCCTGTCCCAAATGAGGATGTCCCATTAGTCAGATGATGTTCTCATGTCATTGACCTAAAGAGGAACAAAGAACTGTGTTGGACCTAAAGGAATGGAGCCATGAATCTTACAATGCAAGTTATAATAATAATAATAATAATAATAATCTCTGCATTTGATATAGCATCTTATCACATCATCAAGGCATCTCAAATCGCTTCACAGAATATACTGTAAAGTGGAGTGACTGTATATTTTGTGGGCAAACTTCCCACGCATTACACCATAATGAAGTTTCCCTTCCTCACATTAAAGATAATTGAAAGCATAAATAAAGCATTTGCTGACCAATAAATCATGGGTAAGGAAACACTGAGCCATTTGGTGAGAGAGAGAGAAGCTTTATTGCAGGAGGGAAGGCTTCGATTGAGACTCATTGACGGTATATTTTGTTGCTGGATGGTAACACTTGATGCTTTCGCTCACATTCTGCTCTGCTCTCCCCCTCTCTCCCTCTCTGAGGTGTTGCTACACCCATGATTGCTGTTACGGGAAGGCAGAGGACATTGGCTGCCATCCCAAGACAGACTCTTACAGCTGGTCCTGCAGATATTTCACTCCCAGATGTGGTAAGTGAGGCACACGATTATCTTTGCAGATAATAAACACTATTAGTAACACCAATAATAATCCTTGCATTTGAAACAGCGCCTTATTGTGTCTTCAAGACGTCTCAAAGCATTTCACAGGCTACACTGTCAAGTGAATTGACTGTGTATTTTATGGGCGAAACGCAGCAGCCAATTGCACCCGGCAGTTATTATATTATTATTATATATAAATTGAAATGGAAAAATTTGCAACGCTATGGGAAAGAGCGGGAAAGTGGGAGTAGTTGGTAGCTCTTTCGAAGAGTCAGCACAGCCACGATGGGCCGAATGGCCTCCTTAAGCACTGTAAGGTTCCACAATTCTATGATTTACTGTGAAGTGTAAAGACTGTGTGTTTGTTGGCAGCCAATATAATACATAAGAGTTAATAAGATGCTGCGGGTTGACTGACTATTGGGCTATTTAATTTTTGTCATCAGCCAAACGTAGCCCCAATTGAACGATCAGAAGGACATCCAGTCAGTCCCGTCTGCCTGTTCAGGTGGACGTTAAAGATCCCGTGCAACAACTGAAGAGAGGAAGGAATTTCTCTTGCCTCGCTCCCCCTGGCCAACAATCCTCCAGATAAACTTGCCCTTGCCTTGTGAAAATTGGCCGCCACATTTGCCTACAATTACACGTTCATTGCACTTGACACCTGGAAACTCCTGTGTGTCCCTTGGAGGGACGTCTCCTGCTTACCTAAGTCTGGAGAGAATTCTCATTTTGTACAATTCAAATCACCGAACACAGTGGATAACTCTCGTGCAACCTCTGGAGTAGACCACTGCTGGCCCAACTACTCGTTATCCCTAATGTAGACACTCCTTAACTACCCTTAACGTTTAACTGGTTTCCACAGCCCAGCACAATACAGGGAAAGCTGATCTCACAGTCACAGACATTTATTCGAAGCGCTCTGAGACGCCGTCCGGCGTGGAGGGCGCTATATAAAATCCAAGTTGTTGTTGTTGTTGTTATTCATGTGAATTGCTGGTTCCTTTGCCACACGCCAACAACTACTGCAGTTCCAATCTGGCCAAGGAAAACTCCTCATTACTGCTGTGTCCCCCACAGCCCCTCCCAAAGATAGTGTTTCGCCCACAAAACATACATTCAATTCAGTTTACAATCTATTCTGTGAAATGCTTTGAGATTTCTCGAAGACGTGAAAAGGCGCTGTGTCAAATGCAAGGATTATTATTATTATTATTATGGTTGTTATTACATGCTGATTGCATATTTGGAATCCAAACTAAACCTGTTCAATTACAATTATAATCCAACCAAACCCCAGATTTATACTTATCCTAATTTCATATTCTCCACCCAATCATTTGAAAAATTTGTACATTAAGAGTAATTTTCAGGGAGGTGCTGGTCTCAAAATAACAAGAGCTCTCCACACACTTTCCTACATGCAGTGAAAGATCCAAGATGCCTGCCTGAACATGTCACTGCCTTTTGAGTGAGTGGTGTTTCGGTGTTCCACCCTATTCCAGACATTCTCCAAAACCATTAACTCAGCAAGTACAGCGAAGACAACTGATCACAGTAACTCTGACATTTGCGAACTTCACTTCACTTCAGTTCAGTTCACGCAACCTGTGCGCGTGTGTGAACTTTAAAAGCTGGGTCCACAAACTGAATCATTTAACATAAACCATCTGGCCCTTCTGAGAAACGAATCCCTTTCTTTAATTTGTTTCTGTTTTCCAGGCAACATCTATGACGAGTGTGAGAAAATGATCTGCGACTGTGATGTGCAGTTATCAAAGTGTTTGAAAAAGGCCGTGTACCAGAGGAAGTACTCATTCTGGCCCAATTTCCTCTGTGGCCGGTACAGGCCCTCGTGTAGTAATTTCTAATTTACATTCCCGATACTGGGCAATACAGTAACAATAATAATCCTTGCATTTGACCAAGCACCTTATCACGTCTTCGAGATGTCTCAAAGCGCTTCACAGAATATACTGTAAAGTGAATTGACTGTGTATCTTGTGAACGAAACCCGGCAGCCAATTGCGCACAGCAGCGTCCCCACAAACAGCTGTGGATTGAAGTGACCAAATTTTTAATTTTTTTATTTTTGAGGGTTATATTTATTTAACCCCGGAAAAGCGATCCGCCAATCGACTAACAACTGGGTTCCTCCTTACTGCAAGGTGAACAGAGGCACGTGGAGTAAGCAAACTTGTCTAACGTTTTGCCCTCTCCGGGAATCAAACCCAGGTCCTCTCGCTTGAGAGGCGAGCGCTCTAACCACTAAAACCCCAGTGCGGAGCTGGCTTTGAGTCAGCATTAATCGTCCCCACGCGACTTGGGAATGTTCTGTGACAGTGTAAGAAATATTCTCTTGTGTGATTCACGCACATTATCACTCCAAGTCATATTTGCAGCCCTTTATCCTCGAGCCGTCTTTGTGGACAGGAGGCTGAAAGTCTGGAAGAATAGTTACAACGCAGTCGTTTGTTTTCTTTTCTTTCTCCCCTTCCCCTCCCTTCCTCAGTTCTCATTTCTGAAACGCCAGATTCCATCATTTCCTAGCGACAGCCGCAACAACAACAAAATGCATTTATACAGCGGCCTTCATGCTGGAACGGCATCTCGGAACGCTTAAACATTAGACCTCTAACATTGGGAGATGTCAAATGTTCCTACTTACTGCTAAGTAAACAGAGGCATGTGGGGTAAGGAAACTTGCCCAGCGTATAGCCCTGCCCGGGAATCAAACCAATCATGGTGGTTGAAAGCTTTCTCCCTGGTTAAACAGAAAGCAGTGATTCATAGTGTAGCTCGATTGCTCTGGCTCACTGACAGCGCAGAGCGGGCTTTCAGAGTTGGTTCGCTTACTAGATGTTTCCACCCCGTCTGCAATGCTGCGACTCATGTTGCTAATTTTTCACGGGGCTGTGTTTCCGATCTGACTTTTACCTTGCAAAATAAAGCACTTTACAAAAGCAACCTTGACGTGTCCTTTGCTTGTGCTGTTGTTTTTCGATTTAAATAAAAAAAGGAATAATCTGGTAACCAAATGTTTCAGGATAGATGTGGTAACGTTTTGCAGTATTTTGGCCATGGTCTTTTAACGTTACTTCTTTTTCACCAGATTTTAATAAGACAATAATCCTTGCGCTTGATTTAGTGCTTTATCAAATCACTGAGATGCCCTCAAAACCAACGACAGTGTTTATTGTAAAGTGTATTGACTGCGTATTTGTAGGCAGGCAGCAGCCAAATAGAGTAAAGTGGCACTCCGTGTTTAAACTCAAAGGAACCTTTCTCCAACTTCATTAACTGCGCCTTAAAGTTACAGCACTTCAGATCACAGTAATTGGAAGCCTTTCTGCTTAATCCCCATCACATGGCAGCACCATGTCTCTAGCTACCAATTGTACCCTCGTATGCGTGTACGCATGTGTGCACGTGTGTGTGTGTGTGACTGATCCGTGCGAAACGTGTTCTCGGTCTCTCATCAGACACATTGTAAGAAATGAATGGCCGTGTAGCTGATGGTGATCCTGTGTTGTGACAGGGTGGGATTATTCTCAAAGATTCTTCTGTCCTTGTGGCTCAGAGAATGCACTTGGATCAACTCACACACGTGGGAACATCAAGTTTCCTATTGTTAACGCTGACATTAAACAAAAACCCGGCACAGGCTGATCACTTTGACTGCACGTCGCCAGTTACCATCGCAGATTGTATGTACTTTGGCTGAAGGTCACAATGCTAGAAAACACAATCTATTTTTCTGGTATTATGACCTTTAATCAAAGTGCTTACATTTCGTGCCGGTGAGTGGGGACAGACAGACTCACAGGGGCTCAGGGAACATGTTTTGATGAATGCACACGGAGAGACCAGTCACTGGGGGCAGGAGTCATCCTACTCAAAGAGTGAATAATGCTCTTCGGTCCATTTACTCTCATCCCTACAGAACACCAAACAAACTATCATCAAAACACAGCAGCAAGCGGCTTCTTAAGTGCAGTAGGAGGGCAAAACCTTGGGCAAGTTTCCTTGCTCTGCACACCTGATAATAATCCCTCAAGAAAAAAAGAACAATAATAAATTAGTCACTTCAATCCACGACTGTTTGTGGGACGCGGCTGTGCGCAATTGGCTGCCACGTTTGGCCCACAAAATGTACAGTCAATTCACTTTACAGTATATTTTGTGAAGCGCTTTGAGACGTCTAAAAGACGTGCAAAGCACAATATCAAATGCAAGGATTATTATTACAGTGATCTGAGCTTAACCACACTTTTGGTAACCTCTTTCCGCCAGTCGACTAACAACCAGGTTCCTACTTACTTCTCGGTAAACAGAGGTGAGTGGAGTAAGGAAACTTACCTAAAGTTTCGCCCTGCCCGGGAATTGAAACCGGGACCTCTCGCTTGCGAGGCGAGTGCTCTAACCACCAAGCTACAGGACTTCACAAGCATCAGTCATAGAGCAACGCACTTGTCAGGGACTGTGGTGTATTTCCTGAATTGTAAAAAAAGAGGACAGTTTGACTAAAAGTTGCTGCAGTGGATTCCTTCTTCTGCCCCCCACTCTCCTCTGCTTCGCCCCTCCTCCGCCTTCACCCCTCATCTGCCTCCCCCCCTCCTCCCCCTTCCTCTGCCTCCCCCTCCCCAGCCTTCCCCCCCTCCTCTGCCTCCCCCCTCCTCCTTCTTCCCCGCTCCTCTGCCTTCCCCCCCACAAGCTATGGGAAAGCGAAACTGACGTAAGGGATCGTAACGTTCTGAGAATTCCAAAGAAACCAAAGGCTGATGTAAACAGCCTCTTGGGTTTCCTTTCCTAAACACACAGCGCTTGGTTTTTTTTCCAGCTAATTACCAGAGTCTGGCTTGCAGCAGAAATCATGGGTGTGTGTGCGTGTGCGTGTGGGGGGGCGGTGGGTGGTGGGTGGGGGGCAGGAGGCATTTCCACTCACTCCGAGTTCAGCAGGATCTTGCCTGTTGCCGTAAAAGCTCCCCGAGCCCAGCCAGGCTGTGTGCGTCACCGGCCTCCGATGTTTGTGGGAGCCTGGAGTGTGGCATCACCCATTCTTCCCTATGTCACCAAATCAGACCTGCAAAGAATTCCAAACTTCACACGTTCTCGGCCAGAACAATTCCTCCCCTCGAGAGTCAAACAATGAACGTGAAAGGAGTGCGTCTTAAACTCTCGGGAACTCTTTGCCCTCGTTGCCACATGTCATGGCCGGGCAGACACTGCGCACTCCCCCTGTTCTCACTGAACTCTCCTTCTCCCTAACCGTGTTTATTGGCTCACGTGCAGCCTCTTGTCAAAAGCTTTTCATCTGCAGTTTGTCATCTAGGTTGAAAGCAACAGTGAACTCAGCTCAGGTCACGAGGCTTCTGTTCACACGTTGTCGGTAATTAAGGCACCAGATTAGAGTATTTGTTAAAGATTTGTTAAAATCTTTATTATTAAAGATTATTGTTGCAAGATTATTATAGATTTGATCCCTGACGGTAAATTGGGTAGCATAATTGAGCATAATTGAGTGTAGGTTTTCCAGCATTTTGAAGCTGTACCCAAGTCGGAACTCCAATTGAAACTGAAAGTTGAAACTTGACAATAAGGACTAAAAACCATTTGAAACTCTGGCTTTCTGTTTCAGTTCAGTTCATCGGTCAATTTGCCTTCCACAAAATAAGCCTCTGCATGCACCAGATTTGCTGTGTACATAATAGTGCTCTTTAGTAAAAAGAAGGTGGTTAATGATTAAGTCGGCGCGGTGATTAATGTGATAAGCAATGTGACATTGCGCTCACCATTAGGCAACCAGATCTGAGTAGTCAGGGACACACTACATCTCCAACTCTGTACGTAATATTCAGGAGTTTTGATTTCTGCCAGTGCAGCCTACCTACCTACGCAAGCTGAGGTCTTCACTTGTCACTCCTTGACTTCGTAATGCGAGCCTCGTGGCTATCACGTACATGAGCAACCCTTATGTTTTTTCATGTACGGTTACAAACACTTCGTGATAGCATATACGGACCTTATTTGTGCGATCCACATAAGGCATTTCTCCCCCTTGCGCTTTCTGTCACGAAACCACACAGTGTGTCAGGTGCTATTGTTTTCTCTTATCGTCTAGAGATTATCAAGGTGAAGGTGATGCCTCATTGATTTTCTGCTCTGACAGCCAAAATCAACACAGCTCTGAAGGTTATATAGTCCATCTATGTACACATAGATCAATGTTCAATCGTTCAATGTATATCGTTCAATGTACGGAATCTACACTGTCCTACTTATGGAAGCCTCAAAGGCAGTCTCACGAGGAATGTATTAGGATTGGGATATAAATCGGGATCCCATCTGTAAATATGTTCTTAGCTGCGAAACATCACATTAGTGTCAGTATCGGTGTCTAAATTTGTTAGTGCCTAAACCAGCACCTTGGGACGTCCTCCCGACATGGAGGGCGCTACACAAATGTCATTTTGTAATATATTGAATTATAAACTTGTCCAGAGCCTATAGATTTGCATTACATTACATTACATTACACTGACGATATTAACAGCATAAGAGGCTAATAGCTGCGTCAAAACTAATAGCCCAGTTGGGATTTGTAATGCCCTTTGTCTTTAGATGTTGATTTTACAAAGTTTCAGGAAATCAGAGAATATTATCCTAATGGAAAACCCTTACTTAATCTCATTGCTAGACAGATATACAAAGTATGTTGAATTGCTTTGAGATATCGCCAACAGGATAAGGCACTATATCAAATGCACACATTATTATTATTATTATTATTATGATAAACTGTTCATAAGAAGCATCAATGTAAATAATTTTGATATTATTATTAGAAGAAAAAGCAACATTAGACAACCTTTTGCAGATTGTTTCAGAGGTTAAAAACTACTCTTCCAGTGAAGGATTATTCTTGGCGAAAGATATTAATACAACAGATTTTCAATATTACATGTAAAAAAGGCTATATTAGTAACTGGAAATAAAGCTATCAATAACATTGAATAAACATCGGCTAACACTGTGCCTTTACAATACAGGTGCCAAAGCATCTGCCCTGTGTTTAAATATAGCCCACCAGAGA